TAATAATAAAAGACACTGTCGGGATTTCGATACAGTCGGGATTATGGTTGTTGAGATTTTGATATAGTCGGGATTTCGAATGTTAGGATTTCGATACAGTCGGGATTTCAATAGTAAAAGTATTTATGAAGTAAAAAAAAATATTATATATGTTTATAAAATTGTGTAAGTTGTAGGCATTCACTTTGTGGTCGTAATACATTTTAAACTTGTAAAAACCTGCACATAATGATATACCAGTATTATCTTGTTACAAGCATATGTGCAGTCTCAGAGTAAAGATCTTAATAATTATAAAGATATCCCAATATAAATAATAAATTTATAAAAAATCAATATCTGGTAAGTAGGGGGTCTACCCAAAACCGAAAAACATGGCAAGGGGTCTACGACACAAAAAAGTTTGGGAACCTCTGATCTATATTAACATGTTCATTTTTTGTTTCATCTTTTGATTGTTGTTGTTGTTGTTGCAGCCGCAGGGGAAGCTGTACGAGAGCTTCAGCGTGTTCTGTCCGAGCGATCATCTGGATGATTTGGATCTGGTGTTCGAGGAGGACGTGCTTATCGATTGGTCCTGTCCGATATATTTGAACTTTACGAACGCGGAGATCGTCGAGAGGATGGAGACGTTCTACGAGAGTCGCGGCACCCTGGAGAAGCTCGACGGAGACATCTACAGTCTGATGGAGCCGGCGACGATGCCCGAAAACGACACCACCGCCAACAACATAGACACGTGAGTTTCAAAATTAATTGACGTTGGCGTTGAAAAGATTGAACAAATTGTTTTTGTGTAGAGGATTCGAAGAGGGTGCGGAGATGCTGCAGCTGACTCCAGAGCACGCGCAAGAGATCCACGATCTGTACCCGGCCAATCACATGGAGTCGATAGAGGTGTTCGAGAAACTGATGAAGAGGTTGCCCTGTTTCGGCGTGTTCTCGAGCAGCGGCGAATTGGCCGCATGGATGGTTCAATCATATTACGGAGCGATGTTCTCGATGCAGACGAAACCGGAGTTCAGGAGGAAAGGATACGGCATCACCTTGGCCAGATACCTGACGAACGCCGTCTCCAAACGG